TGTTTCAGATCTGATCTTTCATTTTTAATGGAAACTTTTATAGTTTTAGTAGTTTTTTTGGGGGTTTTACTCGATTTGCATATGAGTAGCCTTTGAGATCTCACAAGCAGCTTCTTCTTCTTTTACTTCAAAATCTGCTGTTTGAAGCACCGTAACAAGAGTCTCGTCATCATCACCACCGGTTACAATGTTTCCAATGGTATGAAGGACACGAATCAGCACTGATGGCGACGGATGACTAAGAAGAGGAAGAAGGAAGCACACAGATCAGATAGCATAATCATGCCATGCCATTACTGCTATGGCCATAATAATTAAAAATCATTATTATGCCATTACTTACGATACGAGCTTGACGAGGTGAGGGACGATGCCTGCATTGATAACTGCTTGTCTTCTGTCGTTTGGACCATCAGAGAGGTATGACAGAGCGGAACATGTCTCTGTGAGAACCTCTTCGTCTTTTGATTGCACAAGACGCTCAAGAACCGGTAGAGCTGGTTTTGTCTGCTCAGAAATGTGAACAAACCACAAATCAGAAATATATTAGGGAAGGGAGACTCCAAAATAGTTTTACAATAATAAGGAAACCTGTTCAAATGAAGGCTGTGGCTTCCCACTGCAGAAGTTTGATAAGGTCCGTGCAGCATCCCTCAGCGCTCGGAGGTTCATAGGCTTCTTGAACTGAGACAAAAGAGGGGTCATGGCACTGTGTCTTAGGACAAGATCGCGGTATTCTGGTGAGTCTCCAGCAATATTTCCCAATGCCCCAATCGACTATATTCAGGAAAAAAGCATACACCTCAGAATGGTGGCATACATACTCATTGAAAACACACTTTTATCCTTAGCTACACAGCAAGCAAACAGATGAAAAGTGGCGACTTAGAAATATACCAGTTCGCGGACAACTTTCCTAGCAGAGCCGCCGCCGAGGAGTTTGATGAATCTCGGGACAGCACCAATTTCAACAATGACTTTGGTGTTCTCTGCAGAAATATTGGTGAGCGCCCAAGCTGCCTCATACTAAACACGAGCAGAAATGAACAACAAGACATGTATCGAACTCAATTATTGATGAACATGAGATGCCTCTCACCTGAAGTTTGGGAAAGTCTTTATCGGAAAGAAACTTCAACAAACGAGGAAGAACATTCAGTTGTATAACACCATCCGTGTGAGGTTTGAAATCTACAGAAAACAAACTAAACTATATGTAACCAAATTGTTGATTGATAAAATATAAACTTAAATCACAAACCAGTTGTAACCAGTCTCCGCAAGGTAATTGTAGCTTTCAGTTGTGAATGATAGTCATCTTGCCATATCCCAGCAAGGAGAACTGGTATATTATCCAGCAACTGCAATACAAAAAACAAAAAAAAAACAATGCTCAACATAAACTTCCAAATCAAGCATATTAAACCCTAAGATGATTCCGAATAGGAGAAACATTTAGATGATCGGACCCTAACACATAATAAACATTGCAAGAAACAAAACTTGTAACCTAGTACAAATGAAGCATATTAAACCAAGAAATCGATTTCCAATAGGATATATGAAACTATCATACTATTTTCGTCGATGATTGATGTCCTCCGTCGGAGGAAGCCGCGAGACTGCGGAAGCCGAGAGTCTGGCGTCTCTTCTTCGTCGGCGGTCCCTTTTCTTGTCCGGTTCCCGTTTGGGCGTTCAGTAACATCGTCGGTTAATCGATCCAAGAGCTTCCGAAGAATAGGCGATTTGGAAGATTAAATTGTGTTATGTAAATTTTTAAAATAAAAACTAACTATTATCGACTATATATATTTGTAGGGTTATTTATTGATATCCAGTCAAAATCAATCTTTTCAAAGGTTGAGAGATCCCGAATTATAAGGGTTAGTTTCATGTTTAAGAATTAAGGTTGGAAAAATTATTCAAAGTTGCAAAATTCAACGAGATCTTGTCAAAG